GATTCCCTTCTCTTCAGCATCTGCAATCATACTATATCCAATCCTGCAGAATTAAAAAGTATTAAAGAGCATATCAGTGCCATTCTAGTAACATATGAGCACTCTTAGATGTTGAAGAAAATAATCGCCCACTAAAATTCAACCAATACCTATCCTTGACACTAGAACATGGCTCCATCAGTTCCAGCTTGGCTGCAATACGGCCAACACATCCATCCACAACATTGTTCAAATAAACCAATGGAGTTTTACCAATCAGCTGCGTATCAGTAGCACAACCGAAAACAATCAATCAAACTCAAGATTGAAGCATCACTTCAACATTTATCATTAACAAATAAAACCATAAGAAAACAGGAAAATGGATCAAAGAAGTTGTGGAGACTACTTCGGTTACATCCTTAGCAATCCCAATCTTATCTCGGCCATATTTCCCAAATAACTTCCAATCTGCAACGAAAGGAGAAATCAAACTCACAAGTTCTTTGCTATAAATAACTTAAAATGTACTCTAAAATCATATATAACCAAGCGGGATACCGACACAATCATAAATCTGATTAACAAAGAAATCAAATGGGCTCAGTTGGAACTTATCTTCTTCCACCAACTACTAAAGTTGACGATATGACGTCAAAACAATTTAAAAAGCAAACTTATCCAATAAAAATAACTCAAAGGGATTTCCTTTTGACCGAAAAGCTTCCATCTTTCGCAGGATAATCATCAAAGAAAGATGAAAAATACTAACTTTTTAACCAGGAAAACATAATCAAGTAAATTATTAAAAAGAAGATTAATGAAAAAACACAAGTAATTACAGAAAATTACTCGTTTCTGGGATCGATGCGTTCACAATTGGAGCAAAAGTAAATGACCCGTCGAAGCTAATACAACAAGAAGTCAGCAGAATTATGCCAATGTTTCTACGAGGTACTTGTAGAGATGTAATTAACGCTAATTTCAATATATTAATGATTAAATTTGGGTGACTGGCAGAATTGACAAGTAAATGAACATGCCCCTAGTATGGGCCTATATTGCAAGAGAATTAGGACAACTGATGTACCTCTGGCCCTGGCCCTGGCCCGTTTTTGGTTTCGTCCAAGTCTCTCGAGACAAGATATATAATTGTGTTTATCTGTTTGGTAGAAAACGAATTTTTGATAATTTATGGACCACATTTCCTTATTTATCTTCATAGTTTTTTTTTTTTTTTATGTAAGTGGGGGATTTCACGCTCAATACCTCTCGCATTTTCTTATTTATCTTCATCGTTGACTTGCCTATTTCAAGTCATTGACAACATCAGTTTATTGTACTTGTGTTTTTCTGTTTTTTCTACTCCTCTTTTTTTTGTCAACTTCAAGAAACCTGACTATTGACTTTACAAACCTAAGTCCACAGTACACCTCAAAAGCCATGGAACTAGTGAGGGTACTGAGGAGACTTATAACCCCAACACCCAAACCCCCCCCCAAGCGATGTGGGATAGAAACCCCACAGGGTGCCCCGCTGCTAAAACCTAACTAGACCCAAGCCCCCCGTAACGGAGTTTCTGTCTTTTTTGTCAACTTCAAGAAACCTGACTATTGACTTTACAAACCTAAGTTTTTTCTACTCCTCATTTCATTAAAAATGTTATGTTTTCTATTTTGGGTGTCCCAAATTATTTGTCATCTTACCTTCGTTTGGATTGACCTATTTTTCAAAAAATAGTGGTACAGTGATACACAAATAAAAATAACTCAAAAAATATTTCATTCATATAATATATTAAATATTTCAAAAAAAATATTTATAGTAAAAGTTTTTCATATGCACTACTATAGTAAAAATATTTCAAAAATACCCAAAAAATAGTTAATTCAAATGCCATTTTTCAATGTCATTCCCACATATATCTATATTTTATACTAAAATCAATTTTGAATTTTGAATTTATAAGGAAAATTTTGAAAATAGATCCACAAACATCACCAACCATCAAGACACTATTCTGAAAAAGTTGGAATTCTAAAATATGACAAATAAATTGGGACGGAGGGATAAATTTGAGGGGACGAGAAAAAAGGAGTTAGATGAACGTTGAACCTGAAAACTTGTTTAGTAGAAGAATGATCAACTTTTGGTCCCTAGTGGAGTATTTTGACTTAGAATCAATTATAGCAACTAATAGTGGAATAAACAGCTTTTGCAACACTGACTCAATATGGTTCCCTTAACCTATATTTACACATACGCGACGACTTTGCCCAATTATTTTGGAGCCTCATATAAGTGGCTTACGCAAAAGATTTTTGGAATCTTGCACAGTGATTGTAATCCCGCTCATGTTCATCAAAAAAGGTAACTACATTTTCTGTACAATGACTTGGGATGATAAATTAATATCAAAAGTTTTTTTTTTTGGGTTGACATACCCAATTAAATTCGAAAAAAGGGGATAATTTCATATACTTCTCTTGATGTTTCTGACAATTGCACTTCAATGCCCTCTAAAATTTAAAATTACGCTCACCTCCTTTTGATTGACACATTTGATAAATATTGTAGCCCTATTTTTAAAAAGAAAGTTAAAAAAGTGGAAAAAGGTAAAGACACATGAATTTTTGCCAAATTTACCCTCTTTATATTCTGAACGAAATATTTGCCACTTTATTTATGAAAATTAATTAAAAATAAAAAAAAATATGAAAGTAGTAAGGATCCTCTCAGTACAACAAAGAGTGCACATACAACTCAGCACTTCTGACCGTTAGAAGCAAGAAGGAGTTGAGAGGTTGCAACAACTCTATCTTAGCAGCAGTTAACCTGCATAAAAGTGTAAAAAATGCATCCTATTTGAAACTCTCAGCATTATTCCTCTCTATGGCAATTGAGGAATAATAAAATCAATTTTGCTTCTCAAGATAACAGTTGAAAATAACAAAATCAATTTTTCTTTTGAAAATATTCACGCCAAGAAGCAAAAAAAAAAATTTGTTGTAGGCAAATTATTTTGACATTTTTGCAATAATATTAGCCACGACATTTTGAGAGCAAGTTGGTCATTATGAGGCTTTTGGTGCTGGCATGTTGTCACATCCATAGGGGAGATAAGTATAATTTTAATTTTAGAGGATATTTAAGTGCAATTGTCAGAAACCTCGAGAGAGGCATCTGAACTTATCCCAAAAAAAAAAAAAAGAAAGAAAGATCAAAACCAACTGTCATTCGTCATTTTCGTTCTGTGAAATCCTTCGGACGGCAGCTTTGCTTTTGATGTTTCGGCTAAGTAGCTAAAGAGCAATTGTCATAGAAGAGTTAGCACAGCAACATAGGTTTTACAACGAAAAATTGGGACTTGTAAAGATGATATCCACTCCCTTTTATTACCAAAAAAAAAAAAAGATGATATCCACCACCTGTCGCAAATGGATTTATTTGGTTGTTTCTTTCTACTTGTTCTATTCCAGTTTTGTCCTGTACTTCGAGATCCTTTTAGGTGGCACAAGTTAGTGACCAAAAAAAAAAATATTTTTTTCATACTGGATAATTATTCTTTATGGCAAAAAATTTCTCCCTAATGTATTGTTATTTAGTAGAGCAAATAGATCGGAAGGATGTGGTCTAATACGAACATACAGCAAGGAATTTGTTGGGTCATTTTCAACGTTTTCTTGCCAACCAGTGCGTTTGGATTGCAATTTTTTTAAAAATTCCAATTACTTTTTTATTGTACATATATTAAATTGCTACGATATTTTTTTTCAAAAAAAATACAGAAAAATACAATCCAATCATTTCTTTTCTTTACTTCATTATTTATTTTGGGTAAGACTAGAGGTGTCAAAATGGGTGACTTGGGCGGGTTTGGGTTGAGTAAAATGGGTAATGTGTATAAGTGAGTCAACCCATTTATACCTATTTAATTAGATGGGTATAAATGGGTAAGTCAAAAAATGAATTGGGTAACCCAATTACCCATTTATAACCCATTTATTTTAATTTTTTGTAAATTCATTTAAATTCATTTTTGCAAACTAAGTTATCAATTTATACCGCTCTTTGTACCCATCATTAGTTTTAAATATTTACTTATAATGTTCAATAAGCCTAATTACCAATTTTTTTCATTTATACTCTATTTCACAAAATTACATATTATTTAATAATTGAATAATAAGAATATAAAAATTTGAACTAAGTACTATAAAAGTTAATATAAAAATTTAATCCAAAAATTTTGAACCCCTAACATTTTTTTCATATATAAATTTAAAATTTCATTTTCGAAAGATAAGAAAAGAGGCTCAAATTTATCATAAATTGGTAATGCCGAAAATGAGCAAGTTAACAAACTAAGAGAAAATAAAATAATAAAATAAAACCAACAAATAATAATAATAATGAAACAAAAGTAGTTAACATCATGACAAAATGAAAAATTTGAAAAAAAAATGGGTGGGGAAAAAGAAGAGATTTAGGGGAAGAGAATTCTAAATGGGTTAATTGGTTTTGATGGGTTACCCAATAATACCCATTTAATAAATGGGTATTATTGGTAACTCATTTATACCCATATACAAAAATTTAAGATATCCATACTCATCTATTCATGGGCGGGTATGGGTAAATTTAATTAAGTGGGTTGATTTGCCACCTCTAGATAAGACCCGTCTTTCTGTTTCTTCTTTGTATTCATTTTAGTTTTTTAGAGTTTCTGATGGAAGTGTGCAGAAGCCCGGGTCATTTGGGCCCAACATAGTTGAAGTAATAGGAAAAAAGCCACTGATTTCAGTCATCCAAACCATGATTTTAGCCCAGCAAACCAAAAAGTTAAAAAAGAAAACTGGGTTAACATTTCTAGCCGACATCAAGAAGAGAGATATTAATGCATTTTGAAACCAAAAATTAGATAAGATAATAATTTTAAGCGAAATTAAAATGCAACAGAATTTTCCTACCACAACTAAGATGAAACTTGTGTAGAAACAAAAGCATAATGAACTTTTAGTTTTAGAGGACAAGCCCGTAGCTATTTCTCCAAGTAAAAGAGGCCCATACCATATGGCCAGCAAACAGGTACAAAATTGTACACCCGGTTCCATTCACCACATCTGCCTAGAAAGTGTAACGAGAAGCCTTATTAGCCTAAACCATCCTGAAAAAATTCGATCAGGAATCAAAACCTTATCCTCTTAAACGCCAACCACATCCTTTGTTTGCACTCAAAAGGGCTCCTAAGATTTCATCAACCAGAGCAGAACATGGCAACACTTCAATTTACAACATCTCCTTCCTTCAATCTCATTAAACCAAGAAATCATGCCAATGTTCCTGCTTTGCAATTGCACGGCCTCTGGTCAAGGCCAAGGTTGAATCGCCACCTGTCGTGCACTGCCAGGTCTTACAAAGTTTCAATTGAGCATGAAGGTAAAACAACTGAGCTAGAGGTTGAACCTGATGAGACAATTCTATCCAAGGCATTGGATAATGGCTTGCCTGTGCCACATGACTGCAAGCTTGGGGTGTGCATGACTTGCCCAGCTCAACTTCTCAGTGGAACAGTTGATCAAAGTGAAGGAATGCTCAGCGATGATGTTGTGGAGCGTGGATATGCATTACTCTGTGCATCTTATCCAAGATCAGATTGTAAAATTCGGACTATACCGGAGGAAGAGTTGCTCTCTCTGCAGCTAGCAACAGCCAATGACTAAAGCTCACGTCCGATACCTGTTCCATTTTCGAGTGTTAGTGTAGAACGAGAATTTTTTGCTGCTACAATTTGGTACTGACAAAAGTCTTTCTTTCTTCGTGGTCTCATTCCTGTCTCCTGTTTAAATCTACTGCAAAGATTGAGTTATGGTAATCTACCATACTGTTGGGCATAAGAATGTAAAGTACTGATTTGCTGAATGACCGATATATAAATCATCTGATAGTATAATTACGGGGTTATGTTCAACGCATTTCTTGGAAGCATGATGTTCTGAAGTTTTCACTGAAACAGGGAGAAAGAAAGCCGGATCTTCTGGAGCTGACACTTGCCTACAGCAGTTATGCATTGTTAATTATAAAAATTCAGAGACACGTCTAAATAAAAGGGGGTTCATTCCAAATGAGCTCTGCTCAAAAGTAATTAGGACAGGTATATTGATTACCTTTTCTTTTCCAAAGGACAATAATTATCACGAAAATAAAACGTTGTCTAAAAGCATCAATTGCAAGTAAAAGGAGAATAGCATGAACCCGCACTACATTGTTATTACAGCTCCAGAGAACTTGCCTTTGCTATATAATCTGCTTACTGATTGACCGGGAACAGATGATAAATTTTATAGTAGCATCATTTTCATGTTGCTTGTTTTCACCACAGATTAACCAAATGATTTTGGTTATCAACGCAAGGCAATAAGTAATAGTTCTTCTAGCACAGTAACTGCCCAAAACATGGACCAAAACACATAGTTGGTCCAAGGAGATAAAAGTAGGGAGTTCATCAATTCTGGGATAATATATTTACTTCTTGGATCATAACCATCAAAACTGAGTACTCTCGATGTTTTACATTGTTTAACTCATTGCTTTTCTTGGCAATCCATTTTATCAATCAGACAGTCATTTTCCAACCAACAGAAACAGAGTAATGTTTTTATATCAACAGGTCTATCCCTGTCAAAAAAGTCCTCTGTGACCATGAAGTTTACCGCATACCTACACTAATCAAAGATTGATTGAGGGCGAGTTAAAACATAATCACCCATTTTGAAGTGGCTACAATGAAATAAGAGAACTAAATTTTCAATTAATTTGCTGCATTCATAAACAAAGTGCGTGCCTTTCTAAATAATTTAACCATTTTAATCGACATTACTTGTAAGTTTTTGGTTGGAAGAGACACCTTTCCTGACTTTCCTTTGCTTAATCTTCACCTTCACATTAACTCCATGATCAATAATGGATTGAAGCACAATCTGCAATTTCCCTTCCAATTTCTCTCCCTTCCTTGGTGTATATACCACATTGTGAATATCATCAGCCAAGGCTCTCTGTGCCAGCACTTCCCCAACAGCAGCACAAGCAGTCCTATTCTTGGTCGACCCCAGATCAAATTTCATATCCTTGGAAATAGAATGTGCCACGGCAACAACCTTGCTAGTAGCTCGATGAATAATGCTGGCACGCACAGAACCTTTGACACATAAATATCCAGAGAGAACGGCTCATGATATGGAGCAGTAAGCTGATTAAATGTGGGAGTCCTGAACCTCTTTCCATCAAAATCGCCTCCCACTTCATTAATCCCAGCAATCAAATCCTCATTCCTATCAACTCCATGATATCTTTCCTTGGCTAGGCCAGAATTAGAACACAACTTCTCCTTCTTCTTCATTTCTTTCAACTCATCTTTAAACTTAATCGAATTTTTTTCAATTCCTGCAGCCACATTATGATTCTGTTTTTCCTTCTTCGTGTTCTCCTTCTGATCATTCTTGTTCTTTGAAGATTTCTTCCTATGGAAGTCAAACTTATGCTCTTCATACTCCTTAGAATCCTTATCAAGCTTATAAAACAAATTACCACGAATCCTCATATCTTCAATCTCATCAAAATCAGGGTCCTCCTTATTTGGAGGCATATAACTCAACACCCCATTGTACTTATCCTCCTCTTCTTCACTCAGGAAAGCTTTTTCCTCACAACCCAACTTAGTTTTCCCTTTCCAGGCCTCAATTAAACCAGAAGACATCTGCCAAGATTCATTATCTACAAGCTCAATCTTGCAATCCTGCAGATGATGTCCACTGCTCTCTGAACACAATGGTGAAAGCTGGATTCTGTTAGTATAATTACCAAAAGAATCTCCCTTCTGATTATTATCAGGTGGGATGTGCACTGATTCAGCTTCTTTAGCAGGAAATGTAGTTGAAGGTCTTGAAAATTTACTATAAGCCCATGAAAGATTACGAGGATATGCTAGTGATCTTAAAGTCGTCGCGACCCTTCTAAACATGGAGGTCATTGGAGGGGGAGAGGTGTTTTTTTTCCCTTCTTAGCTCTCTCGGTAATACAATCGAACAGTCGGTAGGCACCAGAGGCTTGATCTTTTGCGCCAGAGTAAATGTTATGGGCTCATGGCCTCTGAAGAAGCATGACTAAAATGGAATGGGTAAGAAGCCAGTTGAAATTGGGTTGGCCTTTACTAATACAGGCTTTTCAATTCTGTTCTTATTTTCTTGGTTTGATATATCTTTCTTGATATGACTTTGAATTCAGAATTTTTGCAGTGGAAAAATAGCAAATTTAAGCCGTGTCACATAATCCTTTTTAAGGTAGAAATATATAATTCGTGCATATTATTTACACCCCCAAACTTTGTTAATAAGCACTTTACATCCTTTAATGAAAATTCCATGCCCAAGCATCGAGTTAAATTGATAATTCAATATCAACTTTAAATATACATTTTTATACAAACCAAATAATGATTTATTTAGATTGTTGTCAATACTTTTTTTTTGTTCTCGCTTTTATTTCGATCTTTGATTGCTCTCTTTTAGCTATTCTTTTCATTATCTATGTTAACCACACCTTGCATCTTACACCTCAAAACTCCTACCATGGCATTCTCGTCACTTAAAGCTTGTAAATGGAGGACAAGCAAATCATTCCATCAATAACTTGGACAAGGTTAAATTTACGTCACTCTTCATTAAATGAATACTTCAGAATATAAAGCACAACCTAAGTAAGATCCTGTTTAACAACCCATTTCAGCATTTAAATTTAATAGATTCAGATCTTAACATATTCAGACCGTTTGATAACGAAAAATTGAATATTTAAATTAATTAAGTGATACTGAATTTTCTAGACAAAATTTGCTCCCAAAATTGAGTAATAAGTTATTCACTTATCACTGAATGTGATATGCACTCAAATATATTAAATTTAATATTTAACAATTCAATAACTTAATAAATTCACACTTCAGACTTCAGTTTTTCAAATTTCAGTTTTATCCAACGAATCCTAAGTAATAGTTCGTGGACGTTTTTTGGTTACAAACCCGTTCCTTTCTGAATCACAACCCTACTCCCGCCGCCGCACTTGTACCAAAAAGAACCGTGATAACAAATTGTTGTGAATTTTGAAACGGTTTATATCTTTGCAAGAGTTATGTTACTTTTTTTCTTTTAGTTTGAAAGAGTTATTATTAGTAATAGATAGCAAGATTATTTTTTTCCTAGTTTGAAAAGATTAATAATAGATCAAAATTAATGGATCGTAAAGAAGTAGACGGTTCTAATTAAAGCATCTAAGTTAATTACAATTCTCGGAGCTTTGTCTTTCAGAGGATCCTAGTGATGGCTCTTAGCAACTGTTTCAGTCGAATACTCATCAAATTTCAATAGTCTTACTTACCTCACGGGCAAAAATTAAATTCTGAGCTCACATACGTCCAACTTGCAAAATCCGAAAATGTCCCGTGAGACTTTAATCAAAAGCATGGACCACATTGATTAACCCATTCATTTGTCCCATTTCAAAGTCACATATCAGATAGGACGAAATGAATCATTATGCTGACGGGTCCAGAATCATTCCTTCAATTCAGTAAATTTTCGTTTTTTGAACGGCTCCATTCGGATAATTGGAACCGCCTTTGACAAACTTCAGGTAAAATCACAAGCGCAGGTAATTTACAAAAGTCTAGTTAATGGTGCCGATTGGATATTCGTTTTACAGGTAACCCAAAAACTTCTGCATCCGCGCATCCCTCCACAAATCTTAAAATCCGACAAGAATTTGACCACCGAGTGGGCCAAGAGAATCCCCTCGTTTAAGCAGCACAAATATCTATCTTAAGGTACTTCCATCCTCAAGGCCAGGCCAACAGCCAACAACCAACAATTGTCAAATTCTCATGTTGCAACATGAATTATTTTCTAATCAAGTGGCATTGCACCGTATATACAGCTGTGCAACCTACAGGACCATCGATAATCAGTCTAAAATAGAGCCTATCACAGCCTTAAATGTATCCGCAAATAACACACTAATATAGATCATTTTCAGACATGGATAAGGCGGCTAGCAACTGAAAGTTCCTTCAACATAATGCTATCTCTACTCATAAAGGACCACTTCTTGTTCAGAGGTCCTTAAATGTACCTAAACTCAAGGTGGAGAAATGGACATCTCAAACGTAGCCGTAAGCAAAGTCATGGCCAGTTTCCTAATAGTTCTCGCAAGCCTTTTTGTTAAGCATCTGTTTTAATTACTTTTCACAACCACCTAGTACTACCAAGTTTCATTAACATCAGACATACAAGCTGCACTTGACGAAGCAAGCTGCAGAACGAAAGATCAGAATTAAGGATTAACACACAGATAACGCTACCATTAAGGTTAGTGATTACAAACCATCTTACAAGACATTTGCATTGGGTCATGATATCAGTTGTCACCATATCAGAGGGCCAGTCATGTCTATCAGTAGTAAGGCTGCTGGTAAGCTGGTGCCATCGGATTGCCATAGCCTCCATATGCAGGATACGTAACTGGAGCTCCAGGATATGCTTCAGGCGAGTAAATGTAAGGGGAGGGGCTCCTGCTTCCGTGTCCATAAATGGCAGGAGGGGAGGGATAAGCTGGCACACCAGCATGGTATGGTGAGTGTGAGGGAGACCTAACAAATGTCGGGGCTGCAGGAAAAGACGAGACATAAGCATTTGTCAACCGGCCTGCCTTGGCTGGAGGCACGTGTTCTCTCCATTGCTGGCACGCGTTCGTTTATTGGCAGGGACAACAACTGGCTTCCTTTTCTCGGTCTTAGTTTTCTCCAATTGTTCAAGGCGCTTCTTAAGGTTTTCAGGTGGGAATTCAGCCTCAAGTTTGTACTCTTCAATGCACTTGATGACAGCTCGAATTGCTGATTGCTCTTTCTTCGCAGCCATATGCTGTAGAAGCATCAAAAAGGAGTATTGATTAGAGAAAGCATGACCAAATATGAGACATTAAATTTGCACTCTAAATTGATTCCTTTTCATGGAAATAAAGTGGGTGATACCATAACCAAAAGCAAGTTGTGCAATAAGAGCTCCCTTGATCAAATACCACATTAGTATCAGATGCTGTACATTTAAGTCTGCATGTATAATGAACCACATGGAAGTTTGTATGCAAGTAAGAATGCATCAGAAACAGAGAACAGGACACTCAGCCATATAACCAAGATGCAATGAACAGGAATTACGTGTCAAAATACAAG